GTCAGAGAAAAAGAGGAAGACCCCCAACGAGATGGATCAGCCAGGTGGCATCATTGATGGACTCAAGTGTGGCAGCGGTAGTGAGGTTGGCCCAGGATTAGACATTGTTTCGTTCTGCTGTGCGTGGGGTCGCTATGAGTCGGTTCCGACTCAATGGCACCTGACAACAACAACAGCAGAATTCTACTGCCATTGAGTTGATTTCAACTCAGAGTGACTTAATAGGACAGGAAAGAACTGCCCCATAGAGTTTCTAGTGCTATAAATCTTTATGGAGGTAGATTGCTACATCTTTCTTCTGAAGAGCAGCTGGTAGGTTTGAACCACTGATTTTTTAGCAGCTGAGTGTTTTAACCACTGTACCACCAAGGCTCTGAATATGGATTTTCATCATACCCTATAAGAGCATTTGAGGACTTTGGGAGAATTCAAATTTTCTTCAGATTGTCATAGCTAAAGACTAAGCATCAAAACTGATGTTTCATATTTAAATGTGAAAGCAATTTGTAATGCAGTAGGCAAATCGAAATTGAGAGAGTATTTTTAATATATGTGGGTATGAATGTGTTTCTTCTTTTTGCTGATTTGGTAACTGACCTTCGAAATGTGTTATTTTTTCATCTGACATTATAGCAAATTTAACAATAGCTGTGGGAAGAATTAGAGATGCTATGATCAATATGATATCCAAAAAATAATGATTTAACTGTCGGAACACATTGGCAACTTGAAATCTTCAATGTCATTAAAAATCAAAATAATTAACATTACTTAGCTAAGTCTAGGATAGACATTTTCATTTTAAACTGACAGACAAAAAGTTTTAATTATTTCTCACTTATCACTGGAAATATTTTAGACAGTATTTCAAAAGAAAAATTGTTTTACTGTGGATTTGTTAAAGGTTTGCGTATTAAGTCCTAGTAGTTAGTTTTTATAGTCCACCATAATTAGTATTTATTGTAAACAATTGACTATATTCACTATACAATTATATTTAAATATTTTACTGATGTATAACAACTTTGTCTATCACAGATAAAAGCAAGTCATGTATTTTTTCATGTTTGTTATTTTTTTCAGAACATACTTACTTTTTCATGATGTGAATTAGTCAAATAGAAAAACTCTTCATTAACTTTGACTATTATATTATTCAAGTACAACTGTCTTAATGCACTTTAAAATTTTTTCTGTAAAGAATGGAATTGCCAGTAGAGATCAGCAGAAAATTCAGTCTGCTCTGAAAGAATTAGTGGTAGAAGAAATAAAATTTGGAGAACTACCTGAAGTGGCAAAGTTGGAAATAAGGTAAAATTACTGATTTACATTGATAACAATTTAAAACCAATGGTTTTCTTTTTTTAAGCTTGGCTTTTTGATTATTAGAGTCATTTTACTGAATATCTGCATCTTCCCAGGGAAATGCACAGTTCATTTTTAGTATACCATGTTCTGAAATGGGATATTTATAAAGACATTTTATGAATTATGAAGTTATTTTAGAATGTATTTTGAAGCAGAACAGTGCTCTCCTTGTCATCTCACGTAGTTAATATTTTTGTTTTATTTTTTCCTTTGTGTCTTGCTAAATTGTACAATGTGTAAATGATTTCATATTCAGAGTTTAGCTCTTATTCTCTTATTCTTAAAACTACTTTAGAATATTATTTTGTGTGCTTTTGGTGAAGGTTTACACAGTTCAGGTTACCATTCAACAATTTCTAGACAGATTGTTCATTGAAATTGGTTGCATTCTGCATTTACAATTAGTGAGCAGTCAGCATTTTCATTTGAGTTCTGTTTTTGTCCATATGTTTCTGTTTAAATCATTTATGTGTCAAATCAAGAATTCAAAGTACTAATATTTTTGCATAAAACAATAAAGAAGCTCTGCTTTCTTTGCTTTAGCATTATTGTATGAAATTATGTGATCAGTAGGTAAACTTACTTTCTAATATTATACACTTGCTCATTACTGATCATGGTATTGGTGGTGGTTGTGTGCCACTGAGTCAATTCTGATTCAGCAACCCCATAGGGTTTCTGAGCTTGTAAATCTTAGCGGGAGCAGAAAACCTCTTCATTCTCCCACAGAATGATAGGTAGATTTGAACTACTGACCTTGCGGTTAGCAGCCCAGCTCATAATCCACTATGCTACCAGGGCTCCTTACTATTGATTATGTTGTGTTGTTAAGTGTCATCAAGTCAGTTTCAACTCATAGCTACCCTGTATAGGGTTTCCAAGGAGCAACTGATAAATTTGAACCACTGACCTTGCAGTTCAAACCACCCTTGTGGTCCAGTGCATTATCCCACAGCACCATATCAGGACTCCGATACTGATTATAAGTAATCAAAATTCATTTAATTTCAAAATTGAATTTTGCCTATTTCTAATTTTAAAAAAGTACTGATTATAAGTGATCAAACAGATAGTTACAGAACTCTCTGGAGCTAGGTAGTCCTGGTGTGGCGCTATAGCAGACGCACTTGACCTCAAAGTCAATTTGAACCTCAAGGTCAGCAATTCAGTCTTATCAGCCACTCCTTGGAAACTGTACAGGGTCACTATGAGTGGGAACTGACTTGATGGCACTAAACGTGGAACTATAGGTGAAGCAGGAGACTGCTAACTGCAAAGTGAGGTTCAAACCTTGGTTCAACCCTACCAGTCATTTCTCAGACTTTCCTTCAACAACGATAAAGTGATTTTCTTTTTTTTTATTATACATTCACATGATGTGGCTAAGAGGTGTACAGGGAAATCCTATGTATCCTTTGCCCCAATATTAATATTTTACATCACTGTGGTGCTGTGGGTTAATGCGCCAGACTGCAGCTATGGGTCAGAATCGACTCGATGGCACTTAAAAACAACAGCAATTATAAGGCCCAAACCAGAATATTGGCATTGCTTACAGTCTGCATAAGTTACTTATATTTCACCAGTTATAACTGTGCACATTTTTGTAGCTGTTCTCACTTATATGTGAGTGTGTAGTTCTGTGCAGTTTTATCACATGTAGCTTCATGACACCATCACCATAAGGCTCCCTCATTCCATCCCTTTATAACCAGACTCATTCCTTACCACGTCTCTTGTCTCCAGGGGACCACTAATAATCTCCATCTGGCGCTGTAGGATACGCACTGGGACTACAAGGTTACTTGAACCACAGGCTCAATGGCTCAGACTTAACCTTCTGCTCCTAGGAAATCCTATACAGGGTCGCTATGAGTCAACTGATTCTGTGACTCTTAACAACAACAACATAACAAAAGTTATTTCATTAGTATTATATAAATGGAATAATTTAGTATGGATCTTTTTTAGACTGACTTTTTTTTTTCCTACTCAGCATGACTTGCATCTAAGTTGTTGCGTATATCAGCTGTCCATTCCTTTTTTATTTCTACATAGTATTCCATGTTGTGAACAAACCACAGTTTGTTTAATCATTCACTCATTGAAAGACATCTGAGTATATTTTTGGTTTGGGCTATTAAAAAGTCCTGATGTGGCACTGTGGGTTAATGTACCAGACTGCAAAGCAATTTGAACTGTGAGGTCGGTAGTTCAAGCTCACCACCTGCTCCTAGAAAACCCTATACAGGGTCGCTATGGGTTGGAACTGACTAGGTGGCACTTTAAAACAACAACATTGAAGAATGTGTACAAAATTATGCATGGAAATAAGTTTTAATTTCCATGAGATGAATGCCCAAAAACACCAATGCTATGTCATATAAATCTTGGTGTGGCGCTGTAGAATAAACACTAGATGGTCAACCACATGGTTCATGGTTCAAACCCACCAGCTGCTCCTTGTAAACCTTATAAAAGGTTCACTGTGAGTCAGCACTGACTTGACAACACTTAACAGCAACATGATAGTTTTATGTTTAGTTTCTTTTAAAAATTCTGGGTTTTTTTTCCAGAATGGCAGTATCATTTTATATTCTACCAAGAATTTATGTGAGATTTAGTTTGTTTGTATTGTTGCCAGCTTTGATGTTAGCACTTTAAAAATTAAAAAAAAAGCCATTCTGAAAGGTGTGTGTTCATATCTCATTGTGGTTTTATTTGTACTTCCATGATGGCTAATGGTTTTGGATAACTTTTCTTATTTGCCATCTGTGTCCTAAGTAGAATATCTCTTAATATTTTTACCCATTTTCTGATTGATATGATTTTTTGTTTTGTTTTTCTGACTCTTTAAAATTAACTTAATTTGGGGGAGTTTTGTAGATATAAGTCCTTTGTTTGAGGTTTGCAGCTGTTTTCTCCCACTCAGTAACTTGTCTTTTGGCCCTTTTACCGGAGTCTTTCACAGAGCAAAGGGTTTTATTTTGATGCTATCCAGCCCGTTTTCCTTTTAGGGATCCTGCTTTGTGTGTCAAGCGCACTTGTGCTCTGCCTAGTCCTACTCCTGAAGATTTTCTCCTGGGCTGCTTTTTGTAAACATTTTATAGCATTGTTTTGCATTTCAATTAAAGTCCATGGTTATAATTCATCATCTGTGTAGGTATGAGGTTTAGGTCAAAAGTCATTCTTTTTTCGTCTGTGAATATGTAGCTGTTTTAGTGCCATTTGTTGAACTACTTTTTATCCTTTTTCAACAATCAATTGGGTGTATTTTTGTGGATTTGGAATCCTTGTGTGGCGCTGTAGGATCAGCACTGGACTGCTAACCACATGATTGGTGGTTCAAACCCAACAGTTGCTCCTTGTAAACCCTATACAGGGTTGCTATGAGTCGGAACTGACTCGATGGCACTTTAACAACAGCAACATACTAGTAGATTCGGTGTTCTGTGTTCTCTACATGTCTATTTTCTGCCAGTACCATATTGTCTTGATTACTCTAGCTATGTATATATTAACAAAACCAAAACCTGTTTCTGTTGAGTTGATTCTGACTCATAGCAAACCTGTATAGGGTTTCTGAGAGTGACTGGTGGTTTTGAACTGCCAGCCTTGTAGTTACCGGCCCAGTGCTTACCCGACAGGGCCTATAGTGACCACCCTATTTTGTTGTTGTTATGTGCCGTGGAGTCTGTTCCGACTCATAACGACCCTGTACAGGGTTTCCGAGGCTGTAAATCTTTATAGGAGCAGAAAGCCTCATCTTTCTTCCACGAAACAGCTGGTAGTTTTGAACTGCTGGCCTTGAGGTTCGTAGCCTGATTCGTAACCACTTATAGAACAGAATAAAACTAAAACTTAGGTGTGGGTGATGTGGGTTAATGCACTGTACTACTGGACTGCAACGTCAGTTGGAACTGCAAGGTTGGTGGTTCAAGCTCTCCAGCCACTCCTTGGAAATTCTATAGAGTCACTATGGGTTGGAACTGACTGGACGGTACTTAACAACAACAGTCATTATAGAGGACTTCTGATGGCACTGTAGGATTAGCACTAGACTTTAAACAGCAAGGTCAGCAATTCAAATCCACCAGCCACTCTTGTACACCCTATCCAGGGTCACAATGAGTCAGAACCAACACAATGACGTTTAGCAGCAACAACAACAGTCTTTATAGAAGACTGCCACATCTTTTTTCCAGAGTGGCTGATAGGTTCCAACTGCTAACCTTTGGTTTAGTAGCCAACTGCTTGAACCATTGTACCACCAGGGTACCTTAGCTATATATTTGTTGCTGTTATTGTTGTTGTTAGCATAGTGGTTACGAGTCGGGCTGTTAATCTCAAGGTTAGCAGTTCGAAACTTGCAGCTGTTCCGTAGGAGAAAGATGAGGCATTCTGCTCCTATAAAGATTTATAGCCTCAGAAACCTTGCATAGGGTTGCAGTGAGTCAGAACCGACTCCATCACCACTCGATTCTTACTCATAGCGGCCATGCTTAGGGGTTTCTAAGGAGTGGCAGGTGGATTGGAATCACCAACCTTTCAGTTAGCAATCCAGTGCTTATTGTATAGCTCTAAACCAGTACTCCAACTATGTATATATTGTTGTTAAGTGCCTTGGAGTTCATTCTGACTTAGATCTGTAGGAGCAGCTGGTGGGTTTGAACCACTGATCTTGTCATTAGCAGTCCAGTGTGTATATGTATGTGTGTGTATATATAATTCGCAGGTGAAGGATGAGGCTTTCTGCTCCCGTAAAGATTTAGAACCTCAGAAACCCTTTGTAGGGTCACTATATATCGACTCCCTGGCATATAACCTCATAAGGCCAATTAAGTGTTCCAAAATACTCATTCTCCACAATGTTCTCCATAGCTTGTCATAATCCACACAATCGCAATCCTTTGCATAGTCAAAAAAGCGCAGGAAAGCATTTT